TCGGATAAATGGCGCTGGTCCATTAAGATTGCCCCTCAGATCTTGTGAGGAAGTAATGTGAACGGCATTAGTATTGGCCTAGTGAAATTCAGGTGAGGAGGGGAGCTTGGTTACTGTCAGCTTTCTTAAAACTGAGTTGGAAGTAATTACATAGGTCTGGTCCTAGCAGATGTATCTGTCCTTTTAATGACATCAAGAAATGATTTACTGGAGGTGCTGAATGTCATCTAGCAGTACTCATATTTGCGTGGGAAGGAGAAAGAAGGAGGACACTAGGCAAGTACTAAGCCCTTAGAATGTGTTTTATATATATCTCCTTGTGGTTTTTTTTTCTTTTTTCCCCAGGAACATAAGTGGAATTAATTCCCTAATACTATAACTATGACACTTCTAAAACTTAGTAGCCGCTGAGTAGCCCTGGTAGGATCCAGGTTTTCCCTGGTCACTTACTCAGCCTGGGCAGAATTGAGCAGCTCGGTGCTGGATTTGCTGTCCGCAACCAGGGTGTTCTCCTCAGGGTTGTGCTCCAGCAGTTGAACGCTGATCTCGTAGGTGTGTGGAGTGCTCGGGCTCACCGCACAGTCTAGTGGCAGCTGCCATGTTTGTTGAAAAACAGCAAAACAGGTGGTGCTGGTATGGCCTCCCTGCTGTGCAGAGGCCTAGCAGGAGGACTTACCCAAGCTCTGGGAGAGCTGCGCTCAGTTCCACTTTCTGTCCAAGAGGATTTCAAATCGTATTGCCCGCCGTAGGGGATAGTGATCTAAATAAGAGAATGAAAGCAGTTTGGGCTTATGGACTGATGGGGGATGCTCCTAACCCCTCCAGTGGAAGCTGTTCCGCAGTGCACAACGTGATTAAAAGTTAACAGGGTAAGGGTGCAGCGGGGGTATGTCACTGTTGACCGCAGTTTATGATGCTCATGTTTGGGTGAGGATAAGTGGGCTCCAATCTGTTCTCCAAGGTCTGCTTACATATTTTCAACAAATGTTTAGAATGCTACAATGCTTAGGGTGATGTAGCTTATTTTTCTAGTGGTCATTAGTTTAATGTATCTTGTACTAGATTTATTAGAGTACACGTGTTGGTATTTCTACATTGATAATGGACTGTTCGTGGAGAGAAGTAATACACCATGCTCGTTCCTCTCTGTTTATGTCTTTAAAACTGTATTACTTCTGGTAGCTAGCTAATTCTGAGTTCTCAGGGAATAGTGTAACAATATAGGGAGTGTTTTAAATGTAAATACATGTTCACAAACTCTCTTTTAACATTGAAATTCATACAAATAATTTGGCAACTTAATTCTTTTACGCACGCACAGTGAGGCTGCAAACTGTTCGTATCTGCATTAATGTATAGGTTTTTTTCAGGTTTTGTCGAATCAAGATTTCTTATTTTCCCTATAACTCAGCATATAACTTCCTCTAGCATCTGATTTGAGGAAAACTTGAGCTAGGTTGTTTCCGTCTTCCCTTCCCAATATGAGGGCTTTCAGATTGCAAACTAATTCTTCTGTACATGTATTACTTACAGTGATTCTCTGTATGTACTTCCCTTTCACTTTGCCTTCATTAATTATCAGTTAAAAAAGATCCTTGCAGGTCAAAATTCTTAAAGATGAGGTATTTCCACTTACGTGCACTCTAAATATGGATCTTGTATCAACTGGCTTTTGCTGCTAAATTTATTTTTCATAGTATGTTGCGGGATGGGGTGGTCTTTCAACAGAACTGAGCTCTGTCCCTTTTGACTAATCAGCTGTCTTGCCTGTAAGAGAAAACCCTGTTTGTATGCAGCTAGCCTGGAGTTTGCTGGGCTGACACGGGCTCTTCAGGAAACGCTGTGGCCGGGGAGCAGAGGGGTAGCAGTGTGGGTGAAGTTTGCTGCACAAAGGGTGGGGTCAGCGAGTTGGGACCAGGAACACAGACTAGTTGTTTTCTCCGTTTACAGGTTTTTGTTCCAGGTTGTTCTGCAGCCTCATGAAACGCTGCAACATTCAGGTTCTGGGAAATGGCAGGGGAGGAGGTGTACATGAAACACTTTCAATTTTATTTATTTGTTGATTTTACAGGAAAA